GAATATGATGGTTCATTGAACATTTGATAAGTGTATTGCTGATATAATTAGAAATAGTGGTTGAATTCAAAATTGAAATTAAGGCATGCCTAAATGAAGATGCGCCCCACGTTTTTCGTTTTAGATGTAAAATATTTTAACTGAAATACAAAAGACCAAGAGAATGAAAGCAAACAGAGATCAGTAGCTGCCGAAAAATTATTTTCTACTTTTGAGTCCACATGAAAAACGTGGTCTTTAAAATTTTTTTTATACATTTTATTTAGGATATTAATTGTATACAAACAAGTGTCATTTCCAAATATAACGGATCAGCTTATGAGATAAAGATCTCATCGATCCCCAGAAACGAATTACATACCGAGTTCGTAAGACTGCATCATATAATCCATCAGACGTCACGAACCTGTCACTGCGACTCATTTCATGGTGCAGCCCCAGGGAGTGGCCAAGTTCGTGTTTAAATGCCTTGAACTGAAAATAAGACATTAAAAATCCTCTGTCATTAATTAGGAACAAACGTGAAAAGCCTTGTGTTGCGTAAAAGAAAATGTTTGCCTGGCACTGAATACCATTTGCCTAGAACAAGAATTCGTGATACAATTAATTCCATCATTTAGCTTCCCTTAATTAACATTTATTGTTGTTCTTATCCAGAACCCGCGCACGACATTAACGCTGCAATAGACCTGACAGTTCAGGAGTCTCGATCATAGAACATAGCAATACACATGTTACGTTTTAGCCATCCAAAATGATAGTGGTTAATTCAAACTCAAATAACCTGCTTGTAGTATTTAGTCTAAATATAGGTAATGCATAATTTTGCTTATTTTTTATTATTCGTGAAAAGTAAAATGTATACTACTACTATCAAACATATTTCATTACGAGCTGTTTATATTCTTTATGGGGAAAATTCATCAGTTGAGAACCCTCTGTATTAGTTACGTTTCAACACATTCACATAACATACATTCCCTGCATCTACACAACGTTTCACATTATTAGGCACTTCACATTTTCATCATCGAAAGATTAGGTCACTGATTGTTTTCTGTACACTGTATAGATCCTACTGAGGTCAGCATTTGACGGCAATTTTTGAACTTCGTCGTATAAAATATTTTTATTATTCATTTGTAATTTGTAATTATTCATTGTATTATTCATTGATAGTTTAGTCTGAATGACTTGAATTAAATTCGACATGAACGGTTTATTGACAAAATGGTTAACATTTCAACCCCTCCAAAAGAAGTGAAAATTGTTTCACGGACTGACCTTTTATTTTTAGTGAAGGAATCGGAAACCATTACAAAATAAGAAAGAAGAATATGAATTATGAAATTTGAATGTAATCTTCAAAGTGGTATTTTTATATTCCATTCTACGACATGAGAAAAAACTCGAGTTTTTTCGAATTTTAATCTACGAGTTAAAATCGAGTTCCAGGTCAAGTGTTGGTAGTAACATGCTTTAATGGTAGACATGCTTTAATGGTAGACATGCTTTATTGGTAGACATACTTTAATGGTACACATGTTCTAATAGTAGACATGCTTTAATGGTAGACATGCTTTAAATAACGTATATCTGTTTCAAAATTATCATTAGTTTCAAAATTATCAACTGGATACAGTACGACAGGAACCTAGGTGACGGAATTCTGAATGACGGTATTCCTAGTGATGGAAATGATGTAAATCAAAAATATCGAAAAACTAAGGATTTTCAAACTTCAGAGATCACGATCCAAGCCCTGGTAAACTACAAGTACATGAAGTATATGATAAAGGGTCAACTTGCAAAATCTTGACAATGAAGTCCCCAATTTCACACAATTTAACACGACTATTTGAAACTGTAATCAAACCAAGTCATAAAAAATAAGGGACAATTTAACCAATGCATCTCGATAGATGCAATGCGCAACTGTTTAAAAATATTATTCGCCAATCTAAATATGGCGTGATAAATTTCAGCTTACGATGAGTCGCGCATACTTCAGTAATAAACATTTATTGTTCGTAGCAATAAATATTTGTCACAATTTGTACAATGCATGAGATTTCTTACGTAAAATTCTTTCATGTATATTGTTGAATGAAGATAACTTCATTCATGTATCATCAAGCTGATCCCAAACTTCAATGAACATCTCGTAAATTTGTCCAACCTTACCATGGAACGATAAACTGTCAAACACTGGGAGGCTACACTGTTACCTGATGGGAGGCTACACTGTTAACGGTTTGGAGGCTACCCTGTTACCCGATGGGAGAATACACTATTTCCTGATGAAAAGATACACTGCCTGCTACGGTACTTACGGAACATGAGCTAGGTAGATTGACAGAAGTAATTTTGCCCTTCGTGTAGCCAATGTTGGAGGAACACGTTGTTCCCGTGATCACAAAGTCAAGGTACTCCATGTATTTGTCAGACTTGGCCATCTTAGAGAACTTAACACACGTCTTGGACTCCCACGCACTGAACGCCCCCTTCAGCTTAGCCGTGCTTACTTCCGCTGTCGAAGTCAAGAAAAATTTTTTAGGTTATCCGTACAAACATGTAGGTACATCTCACTAAAAGTGGAGCGAAATTAAAGTGAAGCTCAATTTTCTTTGGGTTATACACAAATATCATGATGAGGATCCATTTGCTACATATTATTTGAATGTATTAAACGAATAACTTAATATTAGGCATCCAGGATCACTTCAGTAAAGTTTTCGTCGCAGCGATACAGTTTTCGTTTAGACGACGTATGAGCCTCAACATTTGACGCCTTTAAAATGGTATAATGTGAAAGGACTGTTCATTATTTGCTACAATTAAGCCCCTAATGTACTCACCTAAATCCGGTAACGCTTCACAGATTTGTGAAAAAATGTCTGGGTGATATTAAACTGCGAATACGTTATCATTTCCAGAAATTGGAAAAAAAACATATGTCATAAAATTGAATAAAGATTCTCACTGCATCATAGGCAGTTAAGTACAGGGCCCCAGATTTGTGTCAACTCACGATTCGATATCTTGTAGGGAATATTCACTACTCCGTTAGTTTTTGGCCAAAGTTTCTTCAGTGAATCTAAGTTTTTAGCGAGCAAACTTTCCCATTCCTCGGTAGAATATGCGATGTCTCCGACCAAGACAGACCCGTCCTCTCGGGGCGGCATTTCCTGGAAAATCGAACATAGGGTTCCCGGTTTTAATCATTACAATATGCGCAGTGAGCGTAATTTATTGAAAACTTTTGAATGTGATGCATGATGAAGCAGATGAAATGTTTTTTTATACATTTATGAACGTTACAAACCATTTGTACTCAATTAAAAACTTTCAATGAATGTTTATTGAAGAATGTTGGCTGTCACTACATTGTATTTATTTCAATTGTGTCCACAAAATGTAATGGATTTTTTAATGAGCATTCAATTAGTAAACCGATGCTCTTATTCCACCTTCAAAAATTCAGAAAGTAAAATATATATCTGTAGAAAAGTTGATGTGTAAACGTTCGAAAACTTTAAAAAGTCATTGTTGCCAATATAGTGATATTTACGGCTAATAATTCTAACATTAAAAATAATAATAACATTAGTTTTGCTATTTGTATGAAACAGTGATTCTTCGTACAATGTTCTTGTAATGATATCTATTTCACTACGCATTCAACTTGCTCACGTTTAAAATGTTAATTGCTGCTGGCAAGTGCCGATTTTAAAAAACAGCAGTTTGGATATTGGATGAAAATTTTTGAAACGCAACACGTGCAGTTGATTATACATTCGGAAATGCTTCTGTCACTGAGTCATAAACTGTGGTTAACACTTGTTAAACTGAGAAAATGAATATGGTGAAATTGCCTGCCTTGAGGAATCGATGTGAAAATGAAATCCCGAGTTGAAAAAATCTTTTCAGGAACTCTGTTTTGAAGATATCGCTTGTTAGGAGGTGTAGTCCGTTGGTCGTGACTGCCAGTCGTATGAGAGGTGCTTCTAGTTTTTCTTGATAACTACGAGAAGAATCTTCGGTTAGTCAGGCAGTCAAATCTGGTTGATGTGTGATGTGGTCGTTAAGTTAATGGTGAAGAAACATGACTGAAGGAGAGTGACATGATGAAAATGATGGTAGACGTGGTGGATGGTTGTTGCTCATCGTCCGAGACAAGCGTGGGGGTCTCAGATATTCTAGGTTTGAGGCGTTCACTTGTATAACATACACGAAATCTATGAACAAGGCACGAAAAGGAAAAGAATCGGCGACAGGCCACATCAGGCCTACATTTCAGCGCCGACATCATTATGTTATGTTATGTTAAATATTTCAGAATTTGTGCATTTTCAGCTTATCTGTGCATATCTACGAAAATGGCGGAACGCTAACAAAATCAGAAATTTTTCATGGATGGAATAGTCGAAATTAATTTAGTGCGATATTATTCCAATTCAATTTAATTTCTTGCATATAAACTAGAATCAAATGCGACATGTTAGTTACAATATAGACCGTATTTAAATGAGGAATCGTAAAGGAATTTCTTTCGTTAACATTTCTTCAGCTTAATAAACCCATTGATCACGGATATATTTACCGTCGTCAATGCCATTCGTACCTAGTGGCATGGGATCGAGAAATCCCGTCAGTAACGAAAAGGAATGATAAGGACAAAGGAAGCTGGATTGCAGAAAAATTTAATTAAATCTCGGGAAATTGCTACCCTGAATACACTGTCGCTCATTAACGTATAAGAAATTGTTGAGCACACATCATAGGCTCATACAAAGATCTCTGTGTCGGACTAAATCCAGCAATAATATGAATTCATGAATAAATTTCACTATTGCTGACGAAAAGATGCGGTATTGCAGAACGTCGTTGTGGAAAAGTTAAAATTATTAATTAATTACATTCATGACTTATATTAATTTGCATTTATTTGAAACTGAATATTTAACTATCCTCGACATTTTCAGGCAGGAGTTAAATGAGAGTTTGACGTCAAACTAGTAGGTTTTCCCGGCGTGACCTGGGATCGACAATTCCTGTAATTTTTAAATTTGAATCCTTTTAATACGGAAAAAAATCAATGCATGTAAGTTAAAGAAAGATCCTGTTCGAACTCACATTTTACATGCAACACACAACTCTCCATCCAATTTATCTCCCGCAATTGAATGTGGAAAACAATTATTCTGTATAATACATTAAATTATTTATAGCAAATAAAACATTGAATTTCAATTTTTTATTTTCTGCAATGCCTCACGATACGATTAGTGCAAGAGAATCCTCACCAGGCTTCAAACGCAAAAAATTTGACTTAAATACATCTGATATCGATATAAACGGATCTCAAATTACTTAACATCACTGTTATTTCTAAAATTATCAGCCAGATTCAGGATTCTCGAATATATTACGAGCAACGATGGCTTAAGCAGCCACTGTTCATCATTTGTATTTTAGAACATATTTCTCTCTGTCGGTGAGTCATTGAATAATTCCTTGATATCATAAACGCGATCTTGTGGATACGCGTATTAATGTTATGTTATTAATGTTAAGATTAATATATGTATTAAAGATCAAAAACGATTTTAATATGTATTTCAAGTCGAATGAGTTAATTCTGAGCAATCCTGGCGACATTCCAGAACTTCCGTCTTTCTGTATACGATGAAGCACAGGGCGATAATGACAAAGAAGAATTATTCGAATGAGTATCTATAAATCATCGAGATATCATTAAGATGATCGGTTCATAACGCAGACTTTAAATTCAGATAGAGCGAGGAAATCCAGAGCCATTTAAGAACATGAATAAGAAATCGAAATGAATTTCAATTGCGATTTATGAACACCTAATGATGACTTAATTGAATCCTAAATAAATTTCATTCGCATATAGAAACGAGAAATGAACGAAAATTCTCAGTTCAGTTGGGGTTCCACAATATTGTTGTTGCCGGTCTGTCGTTGAGTGAGGTTGTGCGTTGCTCATTCCTAAACTTTCCACGCTATTTGTACTGTCAGTGATGGCAAGTGATGCCGAAAGTGAGTCTAGTTCCACCTGCTCCGTGGCATCCGTTGGATATGGGCATTCACCTGGAAGCCTTGCTATTTTATTTCACGTCTCTTTTTATGTTTTCATTGTAACGTGTGCTCCTGTGTGAATAAATAAATAAATAAATAAATAAATAATATGATTTTCATGTGTATTTCATATGGTACATCAACAGAGACAATTATGCGACAGGTCCATATGACACTTGAGAACACACATAGTGTGTTCTCAAGTTGTTGCTGAAGACGGAACATTTCACAAAACTAATGAGTATGATCAACAAATGTCATCATTAAAAGCCATAAATTTTACCACCTATAGATTTGTCAACTAGTGTTCCCAAATAAGTTAATGCACTCAATTGAACAGCAGACGAGACAGGAACTTGTATCTTACAGCTTTATACCTGCACTAGCTAACAAGAGAGTAAGCCTCTAACTGAGGAGGGTCTCCTCGCACGCTCCTTATATAATTTGGAACATTGGTTCCCAAACTGAAGCAGGCTGCGCCCCCTTTGCTCCCCAGTGAATTCCTAGCGCCCCCTCCCCCACAGACACATGTTATTCACATAGACCGGCATATTCTCCCCCCCCCTCCCCACAGAGACACAAAAACCCAGATTTGGAATATTTTCAAAAATTTACACTGGAAACCCAGAAGAGGTTCAAAAAACCCAGATTTGAGTGGAAAAACCAATCGTTGCGAGCCGTGTGCTGCACGTGTTGTGTACAAATCGTCAAACAAACTTTCGAACTTCTGACATTGGACTGCCGCCCCCTACCTCTTACGCAGTGGGAGGAAGTTGGTGGATGGGGAGATGTTTGGAAATTAAATGGGGTTATATGAATATTATGGGAGATAATAGGAAGTAAGGAATAACTGAGAAGAAAATTCGTAGCAGAAGAATGAAAGTGAGAATAATTTGAAGTGAAACTTTCGATTGAGGTAATTATTATTTCACGCGTTACCAATACTTGCACTGTTTCATATTGGTCCATTGCTCTTTTCAAATGAGATCAATTACTCTGATTGTGAATAATGTCAAGCGACAACCTATCGAATTGGAGTGATTTTAATGTCATTATACATTGTTATTCTCTGAAATTGTCTAAAAATTTGTCATTAGTTCGTTCATTTTAGCTGTATTAAAAACTTGGCCCATTTTAGCCTTATGGTTAAAAAATTCCTGTTCGATTAAAAAATTCAGATGATCATAAATTTATGTCAACAAAGAAAAAAATTCGTTTATATTCTTTTTTTTTAAGAAATAACAATCTAATAATATTTGATAGTTTAAATATATCTTACTTTCTCCTATAAATCTATAAATTGATTTAAAAAGTCTTTTAAAACGTTTGTACAAACTTTCATTCAACAGCAGGTGCTCAGAATCATTGTCATAGAATTCATCATTTATTTATATTGATACGAGGAAAACGAGGCATACACGTTAAATTAGCTGTTCATTGATACTCTAGGAATTTTACAAATTCTCGGCAGCATTAGGTGAAACATTTTCTAATCTATAATAATAATAACAATAATAATAATAATAATAATAAAATAATATAGCGGTTTCAGTGTTTATTAGGCCATAGGCCTGTCGCCGATTCTTAACATTGCAGAAGATCCACAGCATATATATGCAACTTATGTTGAGAGCTTGAACTCGCAACTCACTGCTTCCGATTTTCTTTGCTTAACCGCCCGGCCTACTTGCCGATTCTGACCCGAAACTGGCGCACAGAGCTGGGATCGAACCCGCTCTGGGATCTCTGATTCCATGATATGATTCTGTGCTCATCAGCCTGGGCCCGATTATCAAAACCTCGCCAGGTACGCGTAGCGACTTTAGTGTTGCTCAAGTGCTGCTATGAATACCTAACTCCTGCTGTCAGACGTGCAATGGGTTCTCGCGTTCCTAGAAGCATTGTTCCTGAGCGCCCCACATGTGGGGTTGTTATGTAGGCAGGATTCCTAACATTAACACCTTTGTCTCTCTAGTAAACGACCTCGCCTGAGTGTCTTCTTTGCTGTTACTTTCCACCTGTCCCTCCTTGTCACTTCGTTTCTTTGAGATGCTAACGCTGCTTCTTCGACAATGGAGTC